TTAACCTATTCAATAACTGTATAATAGTAGCATACTTCTCTCACCGCTGAATTATTTTAAATTATCTTATATAAATAATTCAACGTCCAGTCCATATAATGACAATAAATTACTACATTTCTTCCTTTAATGTTTCTACAAACTTGATCATTTGTACACTGCCATAAATGGCTGTAGGCTTACATTATAAGCGATGTTAAGTAACATAAAACAAACCAACTCACATGCGCAAAGTAATTGCAGTAACAAACAGCTAACTGGTTCACTATCTATTTTTAAATCACTCTATACACTTCAAAACTATTTCGTATTTATATGCTATATTCAAATCTATTAGAACACTTTATGCCACATCCTTAGAGTTTTATAGATGTTCTAGGCCTACCTTATTACCATTCTGATCTTAGTATCATCGTTAAGACTCGCAATTCCTTCTAGCTAACATTTAAATTAAAACATTAAAAATATAGCTTATAACCCTGCTCCATTCCTGGATTGGGAAGCCCTTTGGACATTTGCCAAGTCTTTTTGGTGTTCTTTTGAGGCCTATGATAAATTGATAAGATAGTGTATTGTTCCTTTCTATCACTAAGAGAGTTTTTTCCTGGGTAGGTGAACCCACTGGTAGCTCCATTCTTGATGATCCTTTGGAAGTAGTCTCATTAGTAATTTCAGGCTTCTCACAAGTTGAGGTTCTTCTGACAAGCTCGTCTCTGGAGTTATGCAGTTGTCCATTTCTCACTTTCAATGATGATCATGGTTGATGACCTTCGGCATAGATTGTCTCACCTCTGAACACCTACTTAACATTTGAAGTTCTCTCTCATGACGAGAATTATTCAGCCATACCTTGGCATCTCGATGGAATCCAATTTTACCAGAACTCCCAGAATAACCATATTTCTCTTTATCATGAGCTAATTTTTGTGTTTCCTAGGTGAATTCATGTATAACATCTTTATCTTTCACAGTCAAGAGAACTCATCCAATTACTTATCCCTCATGACATTCTGGAGTAATTGGTTCAACTGTGCTCCAGTTTTTAGCTAAAGAATTGTTGCTATTAGCTAATGATATGAGCACAGTCCCTGTTTTCTCTGGATGATCAACCTCTGGTGTACTAATTATCATGTAGTGCAAAGTTATTTCCTAGTCATAGAATACGAAGCTATTTGAAGCTAGCCTGACCTTGCATTCATGTCTCCCTATGAAGTCAGTTCCCAAAATGTACTCTTCCTCTAAGTTAATCACCCACACATGTGATGGGGCACAGAGAAGCTTTCTATAGTAAGGGTAAATTTCAACTTACCTTTTACTGAAATTTTATGTCTGCATGCTATTTACATCAATCTCTCTTCTCTCATCATTCCCATTTTTCGTTAATAAGTTTAGGTGAACAACTGTAGCTGTGAAACCAGTGTCAATCAGCATACTCAAGCTTTCCTTCAATAAGTCCATGGAACTTTTTTTCAAATAATGAACTTTTTTCTTATTCATGGTAGATCGAGTATTCCCAGCTAAACTTCGCCTCACAATTTCAACTACTTCTTATTTTCTTGATGTCTCATTAGCTCTGGGTTGTTCCTTTGATCTGGTTGGTTTCTGTATCCTTGGCTTCATAACAGCTATCTATTCCTTACAGTCTCGACTGTAACAGCTACCTCTTTCTGGTATCCTTTGAGAGCTATTGTTCCACCAAGCCTTTGCCTGCAGTTCCTAGCAATATATCTTTTCAAGTTGCACTGAAATATCTATTATCTTTTGGTGTATTTCTTGTGTTCTCTTTAATTAGCTATCTTATTAATTATTTCAGTTTTCCTATACTTTTATTACTAGGAACTGATGTTCAATATTGCAGGATATGGTATTCTCATAACTTGTAGATGGAGCTCTTATTAGTTCATTTGCGATTTTAATGGATTCTAGTTCGAACACAAACTGCAGAACTTCCTTTAAGGATGTACATCTTCTTTGCTTCAGCCTAATCTTTATATCCTCGTCTGTTATAATGTCTATAAGATGGTTATGTGCCAACAAATCCATCGTTTCACAGATAAGATAATCCGTTACTCCTATACAATTATTCCATAATTTCAGTTATGGTATCTTCTTTCATCTGTCATCCTATTATGGAAATTCGCACAGGATACTTTTCTGGTGTGATGCTCCAAACCTGATGGATAAGGTAGCCATCAAAGCTTGGTAGTTGTTGCGACTTTCAGTTAGAAAGTTACTTAACGTTGCCAAAGCCAATACTTTTAAGTGGACAGCAAGGTGGATAGTTTGTTGTTCATTATTCCACCCATTCACTCTGGAAATGATTTTAAACTGAGCCTGGTGTGACTCCCATGGAACTGTCGTATCATAGTCTGTTGGTTTTTATGATTGGACAATTTTGAGTTGGCCAGCTAAAATCTGGAACTGATTTTGCTAACGTCATGGCTGGAGTAGTCCAGGAAGATCTTTCAGTAACAGGTGGCATAGAATTAGCGGTAATAGATGCAGACCAAATAAGCTCTCTTATTCCATATTTCATAGCAAATGGCATTCCAAACTGGAACTCTTGAGCTGATGCAGAAATAAATGTGGCTGGTTTAATATTCAGATTAATAATTCATTTTCCAAATATTTTATTCTCATGTCAGTGGTGTTCTTTTATATTTTAATAAATGTTCTTTTCCTCTTTATTGATGTCTTTTTGTACATCTCAATTTTATCATCAAAGCCTTTCTGTACTTCTTTGATGCCCTTCTGCATTTCATCAAACTTGCTATTGTAATCTCTGCACACCTTCCAAAGCTTTAAAGACCTTGTCTTTAATCAGATGTATTTTTTATTTTAGTTATACTTTAACTAGTAACTCTCTTTCTTTTAAGTTCTCTCTAAAATTCCTGTAATGTTCTTCTAATATTTCTTCCCTCTCTTCTTGTTCTTTTAATTTGCTGTCTCTTTTTTCTTGGTTCTCTATATTTTTTGTTTCTTTCATGTTGGTCTTCTTTTAATTTTCTGTAAATTTATCTTTGATCTTATTTCATTTTTCTATCTTTATTTTTTAATTGTCGGTCACTTTTTCTTGGTCTTTTTTCTTCTTTATCTTCTTCTAATTTCCTGTTTCATTCTGTTTCTGATCTTCTCTTGATTTCCTATCAGTTTCTTCATGGTCTTTTTACAATTTTCTGTCCCATTCCTCCTGATCTTAATAACTTCATCATCTCAAATAGCGCTTGAATCTCACTACTTGACCTCCTGGTCATCATCTTCAAGAGTTGAAATTCTGTTTCAAATATATTCAAAGTCGTATTTAATTTCTACCAAAAACTCCCACTTCTGATACCAATGTAGTAACGTAGTTTTCTTGCAGTAGGGTTTGTTTAAATTATTTTGTAAAAATAATTCAACGTCCAGTCCACGTTTCTAAAAACCTTGAACACTTGTACACTTTCGTAACTTGCTGGCTAACAAATTTTTACGTCTCTGTTCGTTTGTTAATTTTCCGTATAATTTATTTCCGATGAAACTTCAGTGACACAAGTCCTTTCTTAAATAAAACTAGTTTATTTCCACAGTCACTTTAACTTAAACACACGCTATAATTCACAACGATTCACGCACTTTACTACCACGCTTGACGCAATTGTCCGTCTCTGTCTGTCTGCAATTATCTATCTCGTCACTTTATTTGCCGGCTTATATACTATAAGAGGGCATGTCTAGCAAACGCTAGGACGTTCGACAGGTTCCTCGATCTTTCTAGAACTCCAGCGCATGCTCCCAGCATCGCGCGACTTCCGCTGTCGTAACAAAACTTATTTCAGTTAACGTAAAATAAATCAACTTACTTTAGAAAGTAACCGCAATAGCTAACGCCTTGACTTGTTCATTTTCTATTTTAAAATCACCCTACACAGATAGCCCATTGTGCAGCGTTGCGCTTAACTACAAACAAATAAACACAACTCTTCTGATCTTAATGTCACCAATAAGACACACAGCTTTCTCTAGCTAACATTTAAATTAAACTATAAAAATATAGCTTACAACAACAATAACGACCAGCCTTAACTTCGTCCATTTTTTAAGTGTTTGTGTTTGAATTAAGCACAAAGCTACACAATGGGCTATTTGTGCTCCTCCCACCACGGGTATCGAAACCCGGATTCTAGCATTGTAAGTCCGCAGACATACCACTGTGCCACTGGGGGGGGGGGTCATTTTTTAGGTGTGTGAGTTATTGAAAGGCACACTTACTGACTGGTCTTACAAAGTATTGTTATGTATCTGCTTGTTTGTTGATTTCCAGTAGAAATTCTTTCCCGGAACTTCAGCGATACAAGTCCTTTCTTGATTAAACCAGTTTAT